TGGCCGCCGCTGGCGGCAGGTGGCGGGGTCGCGCAGGGGCACCCCCCAGCCGCACCGTCGGGGCGCAGCCTTGCGGAGACCGATTCTGCCCTGTAAGCGCTTTTCTTGACCTGTTTCCTCGGAAGCGGGGGCACCGCCTTTGGGGTTCAGGGCATTTGCGGAGATCGAAACGCCCGGAGCGCACTGGCAAGAGCCGAGTAGACTAGGGGGTGCGTTCCCGTGCCGGGAGCCCTGCGTTCCCAGAGCGCCCACCTCGGGGCTCTCACGAGAGATACCGTGACTGGTGCCGAGGACCAGCCGCCGGCCGGTTTCTCCCCAGAATACCGACTGCGGCCCCCAGGAAGGGCGATTGCTTGGAAAGAAGGGCGTTCATTCCAGGCCGCGGCTTTCTGAGGGGACCAGGGCCCCCCGCGGCTTCCTCTGTTTGTCGAGAAGAGTGAGTTGCACGTGTGTGGTTCTGCATTTGGAGTCAGTGAGGTGGCGGCAGCCCAAGAGCCTGGAGCAGAGCCTCCTCCGCTGCAGGAAACAAGCCAGGACACCCCAGGCCCCCCAAGCCCGTCCCTGTTGGGCGTCACCACCCGGACGGGGAGAGTTTGAAATGGTCTCTCTGGGCCCTATGCAAAATCATCTTTGTTTAATTCCAAGAAAAAAAAGCTATAAAAAAGACGTGGAAAGGTTAAGGGGGTGGGGGGAGAGCAGGAAGCCTCTCGCCAGGTATCTCTAGAGATGCACTGACGCGTGGACACTTTTCCCGGGGCTGTCTGTTGTCCTTTTTCTCCCTTTGGGAGTTTCCTCCCCGTTTCTTTATATATTTTGCTTGCAGTAGAATATGCACAGCACAAAGGTCCCCGTTTTCATTTTTTGAAGTGTGCAGGTCAGCGGCGCCAAGTGCCCAAGGGTGTTGGGCAAACACGCCCCCTCCAGCTCCAGAGTGTTCACCTTGTAGCAGTGGGGCTGTGCCCATGACACCCAGCCCCCCATTCCTCCCTCCCCGGCCCCGGAAACCGCTCTTTTTGTGTCTCCATGAGCTTGACATTCTAGAGGCACAGGGGTCCCCTCTTGCCACAGAGGATGCATTTCCAGACCTTCCGCAGATGCCCGGGTCTGGGTGGCAGGGGCTGGTTTTTCTGCAGCTACAAACCTGATAAAGCTTAAAGCTAGATGTATAAATTAGGCACCATCAGCCTCATTTATGACAAGTAATAATAAAATGGAGCAATGATAACACTATAAAAGTTAGTGTGATGTGGTCTCTCTTTCAGTATCATGGTCCACATACGCAGGAACTGGTTGACCACAGGGCACTAACTGAAGAAAGTGAAGTGGACGAGGAGGGACAGCGGTGTCGTGTGGGAGGGGCACGTGTCGACCTCCCCGCGTGCCTTCAGGCTGACCCCGCGCGCGGCGTGTCAGGGTTGACTTCCTTTTGGGGCTGAGTAATGGTCCACTGTTAGTCGAGGCCGCATGGTGCTTGTCCGTCCGCCAGACGCTTAGGTGACCACCACCCCTGGTGCTTGGAGTAGTCGCGCTGCGAGCCTGGCGCGCAAATACCCGCTGGGGTTCCTGTTTTTAATTCTTCGGGGTTAAACACTCAAGTGAAACTGTTGGGTCTGCTCTTACACTGTTTTAGTTTGCGTATTTTCCAAAGTGAGCACATTTTGCTCTGATCAAAGCAGGGGGAAGTATTACCTTGAGCCCTGGGATTAGTTTTGTGTGTTAGAGCTGCTTTGGAGTAGCAGAAGGGACCGCCCAGACTCCCTGCGTGTTTGTCACCAGGAGGACACAGCACTGCCCCAGTTCACGAGTGTCCTCACTGGCCTGCCGACCGCTGGCTCAGTCCTCACCTCTAGCTCAGATTTCACCCTCATGGAGCAGAGGGGCTAGCAAGTGGACCGTGGCTCAGACCTAGGGTGAACGCCTGCCCTGCCGCCCCTCAGACCCCGCTCCCCGAGACCTGGCTGAGGGCCAGTGCTGCCTGGACGCACGTGAGCTCAGGCAGGGCCTCCAGCCCCAGCCCAGGCTGGATTTCCTCTGCTGGAAAAGGCTTGTGCAAGCTGGGAGCACACCCAGTGCTCTGCTGGGGACAGCGCCCAAGGCATCGCCCGTGTTGTCCCCTAGGGCTGCTGAGACCAGCGCCACGGGCCTCGTGCTCGGAGCAGAGGACACCGCTGCCCATTTCTCCCAGGTCCGAGAGCGCAGCGTGAGCAGGCCGTGCCCCTCCAGAGGCCCAAGGGCGGGTCCTTCCTCGCCCCTCTAGCTCCAGGTGGGCCCGGGGGCCACTGCGGTCACTGCGGACATGTTCTTCATTGCGGACAACAGGCGTGCTGGATCGGCCCTGGCCTGTGGACTGTGTCACCCCTTAACCTAATGACATCTGCAGTGACCCTGCTTCCGGGTCACATGCCTGGTATCTGGGGTGAGGACGTTTTGGAGGCCACGGTCCAGTCCATCCTGTCTCCTCACCTTGTGTGAGATTTGGGGTGACAGTGTGCCGACCTCCACTCCTTGGGCTGTTTTCTCTGGTCCTGTGGGTCAGAGACCTGCTGAGGAGAGACTGCTGCTCTTAGTGACCTGTCTGGCCAGAGACAGCAGCCGGCACGTCGGGGTTCCTGAGCGAGGAGAGCTGTCCACACTGACGCTGGACTCGCTCTGGTTCTCCCCCGGCTCTGAGGCCGCGCCCATCTCAGCAGACCCTGTGAATGCGGGAAGAGGGCAGCTGGGCAGTCAGGGTCTGGCCCTTAGCTCACTGGGGGTGCCCCGGGAGGATGTTCTCTGGTAAGGGCAGTTGCTGTCACCGAGTCCCTGTGCCTTTGCCGTGACCCTTTGACTCTGCAGGGCCTTTGACACACACACACCCATTTTAGGTGCCTGGGTTGCATGTACCCCGAAATTCGGTTGAGGGGAGTCAGCTCTCAAACACCTTCAACTTAAGTGACAGGAGAGTGACGTGTGGGCGTAGCCGCCCGGCTCGTATTCTCGCTGCTGGACGCCGAGGCTCCGGCGAGGCCTGGGGCCTTTGACAGGCTCTGCTCGGGCTGTGGACGCGGCAGGGTCAGGCAGCGACTGGGTTCTATTGGCCGCCCTGTCGGGACCCCCCGCAGCCCTCGCCCCCTGGGGACAGCAGGTTCCTGCGGGAGGCTCTGGCGAGGGCAGCTGTTTGCCGTGGCAGGCGGCTGTGCGGTCACGGGTCTGCGGCACCCGGAGCCCTGTGCCTCACACCCACACGGGCGCCTTTGATCTCTGCTCCACACGCTGGGCGGGCCGGCGAGGGGGTGAGAGGCGGCGCCCTGCAGGGCCAGCCCAGCCTTCAGCACCACACTGTCGGGCGTGAGCGTCCGCCCCCCCACTTGGGGGGAGCTCTGGCCTCCGCGGGCCTCCGTTTCCTTATCCACAGAACGGACAAACCCCCGATGTCCTGCCTGGGAAGCTCACGGCAGCACCTTGGGCCGGTGGCCAGGCCTCCTGGGAGCCGCCCACTGCCCCGCGGCCGCATGGCCCCGGCAGCTCTGGGGCTCGGCTGTCAGGGTGGGTGGCTTTCACCCCTGTATAGTGGGTGACAGGGCTGCGGCCAGCACCCAGACCTTGGGCCTCAGCCCCAGGCCGGTTCCGTCCCAGAGAGGGAATAGAAAAGGGCAAGCGGAAAGGAGAAAAGGGAGGCAAATGAACCCCCACTCGCTCCCCTGTGCACCCCGCGCCCCTCGGAGGGGTCATCTGCTCAGCTTCCCCCTCTGGGGAAACCTTCCTCCAGTGCGCCCTCTGGCTAGCGAGACTGTCCGGATCTGCGTGGACGGCGCCTGACACCCAAGTCTGCCTGAGGTGGCCACGGGGTGCTCCGGCTGCCTCGCCCGGACCCTGTTCTGGGGCGCCCCTCCTCAGCGCCCAGGGCCCAGCCGCCTGCCCACCCCAGCCAGCGTCCTAAGCCCAGAGGCCCCGGGGTGCCAGAGCCCAGTCCCTGGGCACAGCTGCCACGTGCCCAGTTAGTAATGAGGGTTCCGATTCCGTGACGAGAAGGGAGGGGACGGCTGGCAGCAAGTGCGCCTCGTCCCAGCCCGCGGACCAGGGCCCCATGCAGCCGGCTTCCTCCAGGCTGGGGCTCACGCTGCGTGTGTCAGTGGCCACTTCACCCTCCCACAGCACCCTGCGCCTCGCCGAGGCTGACACCGAGCGCCCCGGGGTCTTGGGGAAGAAACACCTGCACCCTGGTGGTCCCAGTCACTTGAAACCTGGCCGTGGACAGGTGGCTCCGCCCAGAACCCCCCCCCCTGCTCTGTCCTCTCTGGGGAGCCCGATCCAGTGTGGGCCGGGCGAGGCTCCCCGCTGGGTGCAGGGCTCATCGCCACCACTGCCCGCTCCAGTGGGTTCCCAGTGGAGCCCACTGGCCCCCGAATCCAGCTCTCGCCCTTTGCCCTTCTCCTGGGGACACCCTGGGCCCCTCCGACTCTGACTGTTTCTCCTGCGGCTTCTCAGAACCCCGAGAGGTCGCAGCTGCCGCCCCGCCCGGGAGCCACAGGCACACGCTGCTGGCAGCCGCCCTGGCACCTGACCGCAGCTATCCCGGGAGCCCCCCCGTGTCCCAGAGCCAGAAACCTCGGGGGCCGTGGCTGCAGCTGGCAGTGGGCCCCAAAGCAACTTGTGCCGGTGCAGAAAATGCCAGGCTGCACCCTGCATCCTGTGGAGCACCACACTGGACGGTGTGTCAGGTGCCTGCTAGGGCCTTGTGCAGTCACTGACCAGGGAACTGGGGGGCGAGGCAGGTCTGGGCCCAAGGTGCAAGCGCAGGAAGAGCCGGCCGGTGGGGGGCGCAAGGGGCAGCCGCACCCACAGGCCAGTCTCTTCCTGGGAAAACAGCTCCGCTTCTGGGCCTTCCCCTGAGAGCCAGGCCCCAGATTATCCAGGGTCATCTCCCACCGGAAGCCCACTGAAGACAGACATCCGCAGAGCCCTCAGGCCTGGAGCCGCGCCAGACCCCCCTGAGTGAACGGGAGCAGCCGAGCAGGCTGGCCGCCAGCCTGGGGGGGGGGGGTGAGCCCGGAGCCCCAGGCTGGGTCCGCCAGGCCGAGAGCAGTGATGGGCGGAGCCGGGTTCCCGCCACTGTCGCCCTGATTTGATTGCTTGAATACAAAGCAGACCATTATTGTGATGTCCCGAAATGGACCCTGCCTTCCTCTGGCCTCCAGAGTGAACATGTTTCCCTGCTCCAGACAACAGCCCTGTGTGACTTGCAGCCACTTAGTGATGTGTTAAGTGACTGGCGAGGTGTGATGACACTGAGGGTGACTGCATTTCGAGCAGAGCTGCTTCTGCAGGCCCTCGGCACATCTGTCTTTAGGCCTTTGGGGTGGTTATGTGCAGCGACCCCACACACCCCCCCAAAGGAATTTATTGTAAAAGTTGGGGGTACGCAGAAAGGTGAAGCAGATCAGCCCGTAACCTCCCACCCAAGCAGCCGCTGCCGGTATCCTGGGCCCTGACCCAACTCGGCATCACTTTGGTCATCAGATTACCCATGACCAAGCCACCCAGGAGGAGCGCGTCACCCACGGTCAGGCACGTCATTGCCAGCTGCGGTCGGATCTCGGACACGAGGTGGAGCCCGAGGCCGGCGCATCCGGGCAGAGAGCCGGCGGGGCGGGCCCACAGCGAGCACCTCCGGTCGCTGCCAGAGCTCTTAGGACAAACAGGCGATTCTGCCTGAACACGCGCCCGTGAGGGGCGCCCTCACCTCACAGGGCGGCGGCCGCGGCGTCGTGCTGATGTGAAGGACCGAGGGGCCGCCCGCACGGCTGAGCCCTCCGGCCTTAGCCGCAAGGTGACGTCTCAGCACTAGCACGAGATGAGAGAGCTGTGGAGACGTCGATGCGCATTGCTCTCCCGGCTGTTGGAAATGTTTGCAAAGGTTATGTGGTGCCGCGTGACAACTTTTATGAACTGTCCTCGAGGAGAGTGGGTGTAGTTACTAACTGGCTCAGGAGCTGGCCCCCCTGAGGGCGCAAGGGGTTAAGTCGGCACTGGGAAGCTCTCCGCAGCCGCCCGGCGCGAGTTCGATCCCTGGCCGGGGCATGACCCCCAGGGCGCAGCAGACCCCTCCTGTCTGCCCGATGCCCCCCTCAGCAGTGAACCTCAGTGGATCTGCCTGCTCTGCTCCCGCTCTGTCTCTGGGGAGTCCTCAGCCCCCCGCACCTCTGGCCTGCTCCACAGTTATATGCAGGAATAAATAAGAGTTAAAAAAAGAAAGGCTTAGGAGCTACTTAGTGTATTTCTCTCAAGAGAGAGAGAAAGAAGTAACTCTGTCTTCCAGCCCAAGGAGCTGTCTGTCGCCGAGCACCGAGGACACCCCCAGACGTGCACGGCCCTTTGCCCGGCCTTACGGCCCCGAGGCTTCCCGGGTGCTATCAGGCACCCCCACGCGGCCTGGCCTTATCAGCGACGGGCCTCCCAGGATTCCACCAAGCCTTGCTTGGCCCGGCAGCCTGCACCTCACTGCCCTCCCCTCACTTAGGGGGAGCCTGCATCTCCTGGGGCGCCCGTGCCTGCGCCGTGCAGCCCGAGGGTGGCCCGGCCACCATGAAGGTCCTTCTACTGAAAGACCCCAAGGAGGACGACGGCGGCCAGGACCCCTACGTCCGGGTGGGTGCCGCACCGGGAGGGCGGGCCGAGGCTGGGGGGTGGGGCGCCCCGCGGCCTGGGCGGACCCGGCCTGTTCTCTCGTTGGCAGGACCTGGGACAGCTCGGGCTGGAAGCCACTTCGATCCCAGTTCTGTCATTTGAGTTCCTGTCTCTGCCCGAGCTCTCAGAGAAGGTAAGCCCTGGGGCTGGGGGGGACCTCCAGCTCCAGGAGCCCCGTTTCACCAGCTGACTCCCAGCCAGGCGCGTCTCAGCTCCTCTGGGGGCCACCAGGGAGCAGGTGGGGCCCAAACCCCTCCCCACTCTGCAGCAGTGCACCCCTGCTCAGGGGTCGGGGCTGTCCCATCTGAGAGGTGGAGGCCTGAGTCAGCATGGGCCCTGGAGACCAGGACAGCGAGGTCAGATCCCGGGCAGGCCAGCCCGCGGAGAGAGCAGAACCACTGCCAGGGTGACCCCCAGTCTCCTCCCAGACCTGCGGGCGGGGGCCTGGGGTCCCAGCCCCCCAGCCCCTGGGCCCCTGCCCCACCTCTGACAGAAAACGCAGCCCCACGTCCCTGGGGCAGCCCTCTGGGCTCTCCGCCCTGTCTGGGGGAGCAGGGCCCTGGGTTGTGGCACTGCACACACACACAGCCGCCTGCACACACACCGGGCCCCCCCACACGCCGGGCCCCCACACATACTGGGCCCCACACACCGGCCCCCACAAACCGAGCCCCACATGCTGAGCCGGCACCAGCCCTTCCCACCCAGGCACTGGGTCTCTGTGCCAGGGGAACCCCACGAGCCGCCCAGCTGGGCCGGCTTTTCCAAAAGCAGCTGTAAGAAGTGAGGCGAGCACTCGTCCTTGGAGATCACCCCAACACCTAATGGCCGTAAACCCCAGCCTGTCCCATCACCACAGGCCGGGCAGTTCTGGACGCTCCAGAAAGCTCTGGGTACACGGTGGATACCGGCAGCGTCCGGCCCTGGCCTCCACCGGGACCAGTCCTGGGCCTCTCCGAGCTCTTAACTGTGAGGTGGGAAGAACCAGCCCCTCCAGGGCCTTCACAGCCAAGGAGCCTGTGAGACAGCCCGGCGCCCGGCGTGGCATAGGCGCCCCTAGGTCTCTTGCCGTCCTTATCTGTGAGAGTCAGGGCCTCGCTCACCTGGCTATCACCCGAGGGGCCCTGAGTCAGACCCGCCAAGACCGCCCCTCCCTGCTGCTCCCACCCAGCCCAGGGCGAGTCGCGCACCCCGCTCCAGGGAAATGCTGTGAATGATGAGTCTGCTGTGGTTGCTCAGAGCCAGGGAATAGTTACAGAATAGTTCCAGGCATGTAGTAAGTTCTTAGTAAGAGCTGAGTGGTTGAGTGGGTCGGTGGGTGGACGACGGCGGGAGGGGGGGGCGTGGGCGGGCAGTGGGAGGATGGATCGATGCTCTTATGAAACATTTGAGATTCTGGGACACATTGAACTTGGCCATCACCTAAAGTCCCTTTGTCGGGCACGCAGCTGTCTCATCCTGAGGACTACGGGGGCCTCATCTTCACCAGCCCCAGGGCCGTGGAGGCGGTGGGACTGTGCTTGGAGAGAGACAGTAAGACCGCAGGTGAGGTTGGCCTCCCGCGAACCCACCGGCCTTCCCGTCACTCTGAGTCCTCCGTGGGGTCCTGGGTTCCAGAAGGTGTGAAGAATCGCGATGATTTTTGGTGCAAATACTATTTAATGACCACGTCACTTCAGGGTTTTGTATCCTTGGGAGGG